GCAGGTGAGGGCGCGGCGGCCCAGCGCTTCCCGCCCCCTGAGCGGGGCAGGGGGGTCCCGCCGGCACGGTGACCCCGCGGGGGGCGGGAGATGAAAGGAGGGGGCCCGGGCTGGCGTTACCGACCCTCCTCCCGGGCTGGCGTTACCGACCCTCCTCCCGGCCTCTGGGCTGGCACCTCAGCAACCCCCCCGTTAATCGCAAGCGTCGAGGCAGTCGAAGGGGGGGGGGGCTCGCTAAAGAAAGAAGGTCCCAAACTTTCCCCTAAATAATTACCTGCTTTCACCTTCCCGCGCACCTCTAAGAACAAAGTTATTAAAAAATAACTAATGGCAAAACTATCCCAAGCCTTTCCTGCCTGGCTCTTCCCACCACCCTTGGATCTCAGCTCTGGCAGGGGTCGCAGACCCAAATCCTGCCCCGGGTCCCCGGGCCCTGCCCCCCCGCCCCGCCGACACCGAGTCACTGGAATGCGTGGCCCCGGGAGGTGAGGAGGAGGAGGGAGGCTTGTGAAGACTCAGCAGAGATTAGATGATGCGTACAGATAGCAGGAACATCCCGAGCCTGCAACTGGGAAACATGTTTAAAAGCACTGATAAGGCGCCGGGTGTAACATCGAACTCGTTATTCACGGGGGAAATGACTGACAATGCCTGAAGGCCAAGTCACTCCGTAATTACCTGCTGCGGAGTTTCTCATGTCTTCCCTTAATTTATCTAGGGCTGGTCACTGTCACAGACAGGATACTGGGTTTAAGGTAGGGCTTCCTAAGGCTACGCAGCTGCCCGAAAAAGCAGACTTGCCTTTCCTGCAGGCCCTCAGCCCGGCATTCCTGCTGTCCCCATGCCACCGCAGTGGTCCCACGGGGGGAAGTGAGTCACCTCGGCCACCGCCCGCCAGAGCAAACCCCAGGAGATGGGGCTGTGGGGATCAGGAAGGAGGGCAGGCTACACCTTCCAGCAACAGCACAGCCTCAGATTGAACAGATTTGAAGCTGCGTGTTTACGAAACTGTGGTCTCAACCAATACATCAGCTCCCATGGTCTGAGTACCTGGGTACAGATGTCTCTGGGACACCAGGAGCTGACGTCTCCTTTCCCTCTTCCTCATCCCCGTCTCGCTGGTCCCTCACAAACTCCTCATTTGCTATGTGCAGCCATTCCTAACCCCCCCAACCAAGTGGGGACGGGGTCTGTTTCTGATAGTTTGGTGCTCTTCCCGCACCAGTATGCCACACATATTGATAAAGTCACCTCAACACCAGCAAAACAACTCATACTGAGAACTAAAACCAGTTAATCACTTGGGGATGTGTTAAATCCATACTTTCCCATCAACTCAGATTCTCCCAAATTTTTGTGTGGAGTTCTGGTATCTAGCAGATTAGAAGGTTGCATAGCTTTTAAAAACAAATAATTGAGTCTAACAGTGTAGATGCGAATGTGTCAGATCTTGACCCTACTTGTTGGCACTGCAAAGTCCTGTGGTATTCAAGATAGCTTTAAGATGAATGCCAAGTTACTTCAATGTGACTAAAACGTATTAAAATGCTTGCTTTAGACAAATGAGCTTTGTGTTACCTGGCTCGCCAAGACCAGCCCCATGCCAAAAGGAAGTCCCACCAGAGATCTTCTGGGCTTGCCGCTGAACCTGTCCAAGACCCAGCAACCTCAGTTTACAAAGTTTTTGCATATAACACCCCTTGACTGTGATCACAATTAAGGTGAAGGTTTTTAAGTGACTCAGATGTGCTACAAAAAAGGATTTTTGTTTTCACACTAGAAAAGTGTTTTTAAACGTAATCCGCTGGCCACTTGATGGGCTCCCCAGCAACAAAAAGCACTGTGTGCATAGTTTGTCTGCTTGGCTGCAGCCCCAAACCTGAGAGTGTGTGGGTGGACCATGGAGCTGGCAAAGCAGATCATTGGCACAATAAGATGCTGCAAGGGAGCTCAGAGTCCATCTGTGCAATATCAGTTGCAAGTCCCAGGCTCAAGTTTGTATGTTCTCTGGCAGTACGGCATGGCATTCACCTTCACCAATCAAGCACGATTTTGTATTGATAACACCGAAAGATTTACAGTATCATTTTCTCCTGCTGCAACTAAGAAGGATGGAGAAAATATTTATAAGCTCCTTGCAATATATCTTCCGGTATGAGTTCAGTTCCTCAACTATAGCTGTTTTTAAGCCTACTAATTTTGACAGTGATGTTTTTTTTTTACTTTTAATTTTTAATTTGATGGTGATTTTTTACTTTAATTTTTTTCTGACATTACACTGGATCAAACAATTCACACAAAGGTACAAACACAGGTGATGCCTTTCAATTTTGATTTGCTTGGTGCTTGCAAATAACATAGCCAAACCCTACCAGGTATATTTTGCAAGACTGATACCTAAAGATCAATCCGTACCCATCTGGATTTCAGTGTTCCCAGGCTACTCTATGTTCATATTTTTAAGGTCTCTGTCCTCAGACAAGTACTTTTCCACCTTCTCAAATTGACTTCTTGATCTTGCCTAGGTTAGATTCATCCAAGGCTCTTTGTTAGGTGCTACGTTGAAACCTGTACACTACCAGCTCTGCATTATTTTTGGTTCACTCTGACAGGCCTCTTAAATAGTCAACAAAAAATCCCCACAGTGCATAATGAAAACAAAGAAAGCCATGTCTCAAGATAAAGTTAGTAATAAGCTTTCTGAAAGCACACTTGTTCTTAAGTAGAATTATTGAAGCATTAGGTTAAAATAATGAAGTTAAAAGCCACGGAATTTGGAACAGAAGAGAGATCTAAAACATCTACAAACACTATAGAGGCTCTCAACCAGTCCTTCCAAGAAGTAATTCAACCCAGAGAGAAATTAAGCTGGCAAACAGTGTTCATAAGATCACACAGGCAACTGGCACAAAGGAGATGCTTTCTTTTGAATTGAAAAATTATGTTAAAGTAGCAAGTAGTGCCGCAAATGCACCTGTGAAGAAAAAGAGAAGAAACGTTGTTGGTGTTTTATTAAAGCTTGATGGCACAGGTAGAATTTCAGAATATTTTTGAACTATAGCCCATTCAAGCCAGTTAAAAGTGGGGACTCAAGTAACACAGTCAAAAATAGTAATGGGCACTCTCTGTTCCAAAGCAAGAGTCTCATGAATAAAATATTAATAAAAAGCAATCACAGGCAAAGATAACCTGTGTCATATGCAGCTTTCTGTTTTGTAGGGGGAAAAGCAATATTTAAAATCACCGTTACATTCAAGGATAAAATTCAGCTTTAAATCACTTTGTGATTTAAATCACATTTTAAATCACTTTTGTGGTTTTGGAGAGTCAGTTCAGAGAAATTAAACATCAGGCACAGCTTCCAGAAAAGTGGAAATTAAAGCTGAACTTCCTAAATGGCAAAACAGGTGGGGATAATTTAATGAATCTGGCAAGGATGAGGACTTTCAACTACCGTAACTGCAATAACTCTGAGAACCAGACATCAAATTTCATACAGGTGGACTGCTTCACAAGGTCCGCCAGCTTCATTTGTTTATTTGCGTTAAAGTATCACTTTATTGAAGTGATCACAATAGCACGGGAAAGTATGGTTGACCAGGATTACATGGGGTAGTTCAGTGAAGTCATTGCTTGCTCTGAAGAAGAACCAAGGACTTTACACCATCTCTGACAGACATTTAGTAACCCATTCTTGAAATACAGTATGGTAGTGTAACATCTCTCCAAAGACATCCCTTGCAGTGTTTAGGCTATTTGTTGAGTTTAAAAGTTTTTCTTAACATCCCATTTTAAATATTTAACCTTGCTCACTTGCTTCTTAGCAAAAGAGAGGTACAACAGCCCATCACAGCTTTTTAGAGGAACCTTTTGGGTATTTGAGGACTCTTTTTGTCCCCCCCTATTCTGCTTCCCAGACTAAACAAAGGGACAACTGATAAAACATCCTATAGAGTTTACATTAACTCCATCAGCAACTGCATGATGTTTACATGTTTCTAAAACATTCCCTCAGCCCTCTGACATAGAAACTGGGAGGGCTCATTAAAACAGGAAAGCTACTAAACATTCACTCAGCCAGGAATGCGGCTCTGAGCCCCAGGACCAAGATGCTCAGGTCTACACACAAGCCTTGGTCTTTTCTCCAGATTTTTGCCATACTACATCAAAAGGCACTGGGTTAAAAGGAGCAAGAAAGCAAGATAGGGCATGCGCTTGGAAAGTCCTGCAGCATTTAAGACTACATTTCTATTAAAATACAAACAGTAATGTGGAGATCTCAAGAGAAGGGTCTACAGATTCCTCCTTTCCTACCTCCCCTGATTTCAGACTCCTGTAGGGGAAACCCTGGAAGAGTACTGATATGTTCCAGCAGCCCCGCAGCCGTTGGCAGCAGCCTCTGGTGGGGTCGGAGCAGTGAAGGGAAGCAGGATGTGGGCTGTGGGAGGGAAAGGGTCAACACAGGGACTAAACTTCCTTACATCCCTCTAAACTTGCATCAGTATCCCCTGGTGTCACCAGTGTTTTGCAGGAAGAGTTTCATTAATGACCCTGGCAGCATTTATAGTTGTAATTGCTATGAATTTGCAAAATGCCCCTACCCTGTCTGCTTCAGGAACACATCTGGTCACTTCTGGAGTCCTGTGGTTTGCTCTCTCCCTCTTATTTTCCACCTTCACATATCTTTGCCAGCGCTAGCCCTGATGCTGTAAAGGCTTGACCATGGACATAGCTTTATCCATGATTAATCCCCTATGGGACATACTAAATCTTAAGATATGTTTAGGGCTGAAATACAAAAGGGTTCATACCTAAAAGAACATTGGATTTGACTTATTTGTAACATATTTACAGGGAAATATAATTATTCCATGACATGCATTATGCAAATTATGGCTGCATAGCAAACTTCCCCTAAACAAGTTGCAGAGGA